AGAACTTAAATATGGCATCGAGGACCAAACATGCTTTTGATATTCTGTAAACTTGATTACACCATGCCATAACTGAACATGTTTCATTGGCATATAATGTGTGAGCACAACATATTTTTCCCTAGCCTTAGCTTTGCTCAATAGGGGTCAATAGTGGATATATCTGTCAGTGTTGCTAAGAAGTTATGCTTCAATTCCGTTAGCAGATCTAGAAAAAGACCTTGTGATTCCCCTGCAGAGAGACTGTGTATGATCCATACTAACTGCTGAAATGCTGGTCCCAAGACTGTTCCAACTGGCCGATCGAGTAACATTGAAGTGTTGTTGTTTATTCGCTCCAGAGAGCTTCAGGACACGAGGAAGATGGATGGGTATTCTTCCTGTGCACAATTAAACCACACATTTGATCCTGTCACCTTCCCTGTGTCAACTTTCCCTGTGTTCTTTAGAAGTCAGCAGTAATGAATGATGCAGATCAAATCTAGATGCTGACACTTATCACACTTATTCCTTCTGTTAAAAAAAAAAAAAAAAGGTCATTTTTGATCTTAAAAAGTGAAGGTAATTTTACTTCTGTAAAGCTCTAAAGAGTTTTAAGGGTTAACTGAAGTGTATCATTTGAACAATGTGTTAGCAAATGGAGCCATCTGTATCCTTGGTAAGAAACACTGAACACAGCGCTGCGATCAGCTTATCTTCCTTAGACATTGACACCACTTGTTCGCACAGCAATCTGGCCTTGTTCACAGACTTTAAGGACCTTTAAAAAATCCTAACACTGTATAGCTTGACTATACAATGGGTGTATCTCTCTGGCTGATAGTGCTCATGGCCCACTGCCACCTTCCCCATCATCTTCCCATATCTTAGCCCCATGTCATTGCTACTCAAAAGAATGGCTCTTCACCAGTTTCTCAGCTGGAAGCAAAGCAATTATTTGAATGAAGCTGTCCCAACCCTCAGACAGGTGAGCTGCCCAAGCATCTGCCTGGCCAGTTGGCAAGCATCTGTCACGTGCCAGATGAAGGATCTGCCTCGTGCTGTGTCCTGCTTCCAGCAATGACCAGATGTGGGTACCTGGGTAGACTCCAAACGGGACAGGCATGCATTTCCAGATCATGCTCCCAGTGTTCAGACATTTTCAGAGTTCTCCTGAATCAAATGCAGTTTCTATGCAATGGTAACCCTATGTATTTCTCTTCTCCATGATCCTACATTCTCTCCCTTTGAGTACCTGCTCCAGCTGCTGACCTTCATGACCCATTACAGCTGCTGGTACAGATTATCTTCTCCTCTCTGCCCCTGGCTGTTTGCCACAACTTTCTTCCCACATCCTAGACATCGGTTCCTACCATCACTTCATGCCATCTGTGTCACTTTGTCGATTGTGCAGTAATTAAATGTTTGGTGAATTAAATATACATATATCTTTTTTAACAGTACTGTGCCCTTAGGTTTATATTTTATTATTAAGACAAAGAGATTACAGATTTGAGCTAAGAAGCAGTCAGATGAACTGTTTAGACTGGGCAAAAGCGTGAATGTGGCAACTGCTGTTGGTGTGGGGAAAGTCTGGGACAGACATTGGGAATGGTGACCTCTTCACCTCAACCAGCAGCAGCTGGAACAATTTGCCCTCAGTCTGCCTGTCTTTGGCTTGCTGAATGCGCAAACACTCTGCACAGTCTGGAGCTGCCTGAATTTACAAATACCTCTGACCACCCTGAAACTGCATTTTTTTTTCTCCAGCAAATAAATGATTCACCAGCCAAAAATAACACAAGCACCTATCATAACAGCTCCAGTTGCTCCAGCGTGTCTCAGAGCTTACAGCAGACCTGTTTACTGTTAGTCTTAATGTGGAGGAGGTGCTGGCTATGTCTGGTTGTCCATCTGTGCCTGCCATCAGGACTCTGCAGGAAGCATTGCCCTGAATCACAGAATTGTAGGGGTTGGAAGGGACCTCTAGAAACCATCAAGTCCAACCCCCTGCTAAAGTATGTTCCCTACAGTAGGTTGCACAGGTAGGCATCCAGATGAGTCTTGAGTATCTTCAAAGAAGGAGACTCTACAACCTCCCTGGCAGCCTGTTCCAGCACTCCAACACCCTCACAGTTAAGAAGTTCTTCCTTGTGTTTGTATGGAACTCCCTGTGTCCCAGTTTCTGCCTACTGCCCCTTGTTTCCATTGCTGCCTACTTCTGCCTAACCTGGGCGAAACCCTGGTTTCGCCACCCTGATGGAGAACTAAGGGAGTAAATGGACAGAGCTTGCAAGCACTGGTAGTCTAGAGTTTGTCTGCCTTGAGTGCTTGTGAATACAGCTGTTTTGTTTGAAAGGAACCTCGCTTGCAAACAAATTGTGAGCAAAAATCTCTGATATTATTTGTGACAAATCATTTGGTCAGTGCTATGTGCCTCTGTCTGATTCTTCCACAGACAGGAGTTACTCAGCTCTAGAGCAAACAGCACTGCTGCACACTCTCCAATTGCCAGTCTGGAAGAATGCACTGCGTTTCCATGAGTATTTGCTCTGACTTAAAAATCTGCTTGCTTTGTCTGCGTTCACACCTCTCTGCTCATGAGCTGTGAATGCTCAAACAGGAGAGATTTACTCCTCCGAATTAACTACCGAAAGCAAAATCAAACCTCGTTGTTTGCAAATGGAGTAATGTGTTTTAATGTGGGATTCTGTTTTTGGAAAGCCTTGCCAGGTCTCTGAACAAAGGCTGCAAAGTAAGCCAGACATGGGTGTGCCAGTCCTTGGTAAATAAAAACATGCATGTGCATAAGTACGTCTAATGAGTGCTCAGACAGAATTAACTGCAAGATCCATATCTTGCCAGCAAATCTGTTGAGCAGCCTGTTTTATTTATTTATTTTTTTAAAGTAGCAGTGCCTCAGGCAAAGGTCTGTGTGGCCCAGTGAGCAAAAGCTGAAAATGGTCTGTGTGGAACTTGTGGAGTCACGGCCGCCCTCTATGCTGTCTCCAGGCAGTGGAAACCATCAAGGGCCTTTGCAAATCCTCCTGATTGTGAGATTTGTGCTTATCCAAGCGGGAAAATAACACTGCTATGGGACCTGTGTGGCCTGCTGCCACCAGAAAGGAGTTTTGCAATAAACAGTTGGCAACCCTTTGCTAAAAGCAGGAAAAGTCAGCATGGATCTGCAACTTCAAACAAACTTAAGGGTTGCAAGGATTCGGGGGCTGATGCATGCCTTGAGTCTCATCAGGTAACGTATTTCTGGGCAATGCTAGCTTCTCTTTTAGCGTGAGCAGCAGGAGGGATAAGGCCTTGCAGGTACCGGTGGATGGCAAGCTGGACATGAGCCAGCACTGTGCCCTCACAGCCCAGAAGGCCAACTGTATCCTGGGCTGCATCAAAACAAGCATGGCCAGCAGGGCGAGGGAGGTGATCCTGCCCCTCTGCTCTGTGCTGGTGAGGCCTCACCTGGAGTACTGCATCCAGATGTGGAGTCCTCAGTACAGGAGAGACATGGACCTGCAGGAGCGCATCCAGAGGGGGGCCACCAAAATGATCCAAGGGATGGAACACTTCCCCTATGAGCACAGGCTGAGGTTCAGCCTGGAAAAGAGAAGGCTCTGGGGAGACTTTAGGGAAACCAACTGTTCCTTTTGTCCTCATGTTCTCTTCATCTTCTGGTCTACAGAACCCCCAGTGCAATGGTGGCACTGGTGTTCAAACAGTGCCTGGCCCCAGTGGCTTTCAGCAAGCATTGCTTTGCTGGGGGATATTTTGGATCAGTGCTAAAAGGTTTCTGAGGTGTGCTGGGGTGTGGGGTGTTGTGGAGTCTCCTTCTCTGGAGATGTTCAAGACCTGCCTGGATGCCGACCTGTGCAACCTGCTGTAGGGAACCTGCTTTGGCAGGGGGTTGGACTCGATGATCTCTGGAGGTCCCTTCCAACCCCTACAATTCTGTGATTCTGTGATATATGGTGGAGGAAATGAGGAACAATGAAATGGCTATTCATTTTTAATGCTTTATGTACTCTAATATAATTGGGAGAGTGGTTCACAGGGCTAGGAAATGGCATGACTTTTGCCTGAGGGCTCTATCTGGTGTATATGAGATCTGCAAACAGTAGCCATCTCAAAGTCTTTCAGGAAACTTGCACAAATTGTTTATAATGCAAAATGTTAGGCAGCCTAAATACAGGAGAAAGGACCCAAATGATCATGCGTTGCACTGCTTTTTATGCTTGCTTTTTAACCAGCATTTCTGTGCTCAAAGCAGACATGGTCTCCCCCCACTGCGTTGCCTGACAGCAATGAGTTTGGTTTATCAGATCCTACAAAATTCATGTTTGTACACCATAAAAATCATCCAGTTCAGTGGTCCTGATGGAATGGACTTAATGTCTGTGTCACCTGGTGAGATAAGATGACTGTTGGGGTTGGAAGCGTTCTTAGGACTAAAGGCTGGCCTGGCATCGCTGTATATCAGGTAGCCATGGAAACCTGCTCTCCAGGTAGATAATCAGCCAAGTGCCACCACCTGGGTCCAAACACAGGCAGAAGAGCCAAAGAAGCCAACGCTGGTGGAGATCTTTGAGCTGTTTTGGAGAGCTAGAAGGATGCAGAATACAGGGTGGTGGGGCTGCAGCAGAGGGGGAAAAAAGCTTTTTATATCCAGCAACAAAATGCTATCAGGGGAAGGTGTTTGTGGAACACACAATGCAGTATGGCTATAGATGCAGAGCAAATGAAATACGTATCCACAGTTGTTAGAGGCAGGACCAGCACCTGGGTCTCCCTCCCCCATTCTCACTCTCTCCTCTCTCATCTTGCAGCTTCCAATGCTCTTTGTCCGTAAGTTGGGCACCTTCCACCTGGTAGTCCTCCGTTAGCACCACGGCACCTCCTCCTAACTGCAGCTGTGCTTTCAAAAGCACATGGCAAACTTGTGAAAGAACCTCATTATAAGGATTACTGTCCTATTGTTGTTGTTGTTATTATTGTTTTTATTATTATATCCACAGTGCAGTGTTGCATCTGAAATGAAATGCTCAGGAAGATGAATGAACAGCCCTTGCAATAAGTAGATACAGAGACTTCTCCGAGAGGTGAGTCTCGTTCTCATGTGCGTTATTGAAATAGGTGTAATTATAGCTCATGTGGCTTTTTATTGCTCCTGAAACTCTCTTGGTATCTAGCTGTATAAATGAAGACTTAATGATATGAGTCATCAGAGATCTGTGGTCTTGATGACAGCAAGCTCCACAGTATGTATGTTTTCTTGTCTCTGTTTTGCTCCTTGACAGATTCTTAAAACGATCTCCACATTTTGGTATGAGGAGAAAATCAGTATAGATTTTTAATACATTCATTTATATTCTTTACTCTTGTTCTCTCCCTGCTTTGTTGTCATCTCTTCTGCTGTAATGTGGGTAAATCTGCTTTTGTGCTGCCTTTAGATTCTCTTTGCCTTAACCTTGATTTATTACTGGCCACCCTGTCTTCATGAAGTGCTGCTTTGCTTTTTGCATGGTTTGTTCCAACATATCCTTGCTGCCCAGGCATTTGGACTGCTCCTGTGCTGCTCATCCACCTTCCTGCTGGCCTTCACAGACTGCCCTTACTCTCTAGTTGCCACCGACACATTTTGCATCATCAATAAAGATTCCTACTTTGCTGCTTTTTCAGGCAGAAAAACACATTCACTATTTCCCAGTATTTTGGAGGGCTTTTCTACAGATGGAAATGAGTACATGGGAAACTAGATTGCTACTCTGACCTCCTGCCTTGTGGAGCCTCTTCAAGCTCCCTAGGGGAAACTGCCCCTTGAGATGACAAATACTGGACCCTTTGACTTGACTACTTGTTATCCACTCTTCTGGCTCTTACTCAAGCCAAGTTTGTGCTCAAAATCTTCAAGTAGAGATTTGGAAGAGCTGGTTTTGGGGCTGCTGCTGCTGAACTGGTTTGCAGCAGTCACACCAGTCCTTCCAGACCCTGTGAGTGAGAGCCTGGGCTTGGGTGTGAATCATAAAGTTATTAAGGTTGGAAAAGATCACTAAGACCATCTAGTCCAACCAAAAACCACCATGCCCACTGACCCATGACCTTCAGGGTAGTGAGTGCGTAAGTGGCCATTCTCTGTGCATAGTTCATACACGGGATGTAGGACAGTGATTGTGCTGTATTTCCACATTCATTTTCTGTGCCAAATCCCCTTACACTGCAAGCCGTGTCTTATTGCCTTATAGCACGTGAACCATCATAAACCCCCCTGTCCTTCTCAGGACAGTTTGTATCCTTTTTGACCCATGCAGGATCCCGGTGTATTTTTGGACCTATGATCTTGTCCCATAATCTCTGGTCTTTTTCCATCCTTTCACTGACAGCCAGTCCCCACTTCACATCTTGAATTCCATCTGCCTGGAAAACAATCAGCAAATAAACATTGGAGGAAATATTGGGGAAAAAAAATAGCCATGCCTAGCAATTGGCTTGCTGCCTCCAGGCAGGTGCAGGCTGCATGTGAACAGCAGCATTTCACTCAGCAGTGCTTTTGAAAGCAAGGAGCTGACGGCAGTGGGAAAGCTGAGTGATGTGATGGGTCTGGGGCCAGGGAAGCATCATGTGTGGATGCCAAGCAGACGGCTGAATTTTAGACGCCGCTAATTTTAGTTCAGCCTGATTTGCTTCACTGAGCTCTCCTGGAGCTCTGAGTGCTGTCATTCAGGCTAATCAGAATTCTTTGCTAGACTTAGAGCTGTAGGGTACATGAGAATCTGATCTGAGCTTTTTCTTTCTTAAGATGAGGCTTTCCTATGTTTTCTGACCTTACAATAAATGCATGCTAGACCAATAGAAAAACCATGAATCTGCTCTTCCATGTTTTCTCTCCTCCTCACTATGATCTTTAACGTATTTGCAGGCAAAACATCTCACAATATGTAGGCAAATGAACGTTCAAGTACTCAGCTCCCCTCCTTGTCCCTCACTCCCTGTTCTCATGCAGGCTTATGGATCACTGCCTGGCAGCAACAGAGTGAGCTAGGAGTGGGATGAGCGCTGCTCCTGCCACAACAGCTCTTTCCAGGCGATCCTTTATCCCAGGCGACCTGTGTGTAGGTATGTGGGCTGACAGCATGACTGTTTCTGACAGTGCAATCATCCAGCCCTACTATTAAGCAAAGCCATGTTCTGGCCCCCAGTTGCAACTGCTGCAGAGAGCCAGGGATGGAACAGCTTTCCCCATCTTCTTTAAATTCTGTGACTTCTTTTTCAGTGTTCATCTTCGTGGCTCAGTTTTCTGTGTGCTTGCAGTGTTGGTGGTGGGGAGACTGTCTCTGTGCTCAGGTGTAAAAATCAGAGAATGGTTAAAACCTGTTTTGAAAACAGACTTGGACTAACAGAGTTTAATTTAATCTCCAGGTTACCATTTGAAATTCATTTCGTGCAGGTTGTGATGAAAGGCGGTTACCTCCAAACAAATGCTCCGTGCTTCACCTAATGAAAACTGGCACTTTGCAGCAATTCCTGAGCAGGCACGGCAGCAGCTGCTATGGGATGGCTGAGGCCATCTGTTCCTCCCCCAGCTGCTGGCCACCATGGTGGCCCCTTTCCCCGACAATTGTGATGGAGGGGATGGTGGGGCTCAGCACATGACTGTGGTCGGATGCATGGCTGGTGCAGCAAGCAAATCTTGTAGTTATATGGTGCTTCTCCTGGCAGCAAGGGCAAATGAAGTGGTTGCTGTCCTGAACTGCTTACTTAATATAATCATAAACTCATCTAGGTTGGAAAAAGCCTTCAAGATCACTGAGCAAACTATCAACTTCACCTACTGAGTATCATCACTAAACTATGATAGAATATTCTGAGTTGGAAGTCACCCACAAGGACTATCGAATCCAGCTCCCCACATCTACCCGCGCAGGCTACCGCAAATTCAAAATGTGTTTGTGAGTGTTGTCCAAACACTCCCTGAGCTCCAGCACTCAGGGCCGTGCCCACTGCCCTGGGCAGGCTGTTCCATTCCCACCTGGTGCAGACCCTGTCCCTAACCTGCAGCTCCCCTGACACAGCTCCATGTCGTTCCCTCAGGCTCTGTCGCGGTCACAGAGAGCAGAGGTGCCTGTGAGGAGCTGCAGCCACCATGAGGCCTCCCCTCAGCGTCTCTGCTCTGCGCTGAAGAGGCCTCCTATTTCTGGGCTTTTAGCCCAGAAGCGTATTTTAACCAAGAGCTGTTGTACAATACTGGTAGATTGCAGGAAAGTCATGTCCCTGTCCATCTCCTTTCTTACCCTAAATCCATTCAAAACTAGATACGTTGCTTTCCCTTTGTGGTCTTGATCTAGCAGGTTTCACAAGCTTTCTTTGATTCAGATTTTAAAAGCTGTACCAATAGAAGGTGATGCCACATTCCTTTATTTCCTTTCTTCTAACAGTACCTTCTTGGCATGCTGCAATCAGCATGTCAGTACTGCGGTAACATCAGCCTCACCACACCAACCAGCCTAGTTCACATCAACAGGACCAGCCAACGTAGCTCTGCAGTGGCTCTTCTCTCAACACCTCTGTTCTGGAAGGGGAGCATGGATAAAGGCAGCTTTTTTACTAGGATGATGGAGCTGTGCTTTCAACAAGCAGTTTATTTTTTCATGATTTCCCTGCAAAAGCAGCTGTTGAACTTGCAGGTGGTTCCCAGGTGGATCCTTGGGATCTGATTGCAGTGTTTGTGTTATGCCTCCCACTGGCGTGCTGACCCTGCCCTGAGAAAAGTCTCTGCTGCAGGATCAAAGCAAGAAGGAATTTGCTTCACCTCCGAGGTACGTTCCCATCTTGCATTAACATCCAAGTTGCTTGCAAAGATCTGTGGAGATCAAGTGCACAAAACTGGTGGAGTTTTTGTGCAAATATGAGGCAAATGGGAGCCCTAGTCACAGAAGTTTAATAACTAACTATAAATTTCAAGACTGGGATGTTTATCCAAAACAAACCAAGACATGCGGTAAAGTTCTCATGTTGGTCGTGAAAGTCTGCCGGTGATATCAATCTTATTTCTGCTGAGGCAGAATTCTGCCTTGTGCTGATGGGCCTCCTGTCCTCCTGGGGAAAGGGAGATATGACAGCCAAGGGCCACCACACAGCCCAGCAAGGCATTCCTGCAATGCCTTTGTTAATGCTGTGTTTCTGGGAGTTGGTCCAGGCCCACTTAAAAGTGTAAATACTATTTTATTTCTTGGGTTGAGTTTTGATCCATGAGGCTTTATCTTTGGACACAGCCATTTCCCAGAGCAGTGTCCCCGTCCTCGTGATGAAGGGCTCTGCAGTATAACCTTTGGTTCTCTAAAACATAGCATGCTTTGAAGACCTGAAACATTTCCTGGCTGATTGATGGCAACTCATTTAATGCAACGTGTAGGTCTAAAACTATGAATATATCAAGCTGTGGAACAATATATTTCTTCTTCTCCAGGATGCTTATCGTACACTGCTCTTGCTTAAAATGGAGGGAGCAATTGCATTTTATCACCTGTTTGCAAAAAGTCATTATCAGAGGCTAAAAAATTTACAGGCAGGACCTCTGAAATCTGACATCTTGACACATAGCATTTTTATTGTTTGTTCTATGGCACACACTGAGAGGCAATGAAAGCAGAGTCCTCCCATCCAGGCAAAGGTATCATACTATTAGTGCAGGGACAAAAAGGAAATTGATGTCAAAAATTGAATTTTGTTTACATCTTTAGGGACTGGGCTCAGTTTGGCACTTTGTGATTTAAATATTAATTTTATTTTATCAAATTTGGCTGACTACCTGAGGACCCTTTTTAACATGTCAGGTTTTATAATGAATATGTCATCAATAGGAATTCATTTATTTTTGTCACATTACCCCATAAGGGCTGAACCCTCCAAATTGCAATACATGTATGACAATAATCACATACGGCATTGTTTGTAAATGACTATGAATAACACAGAAACTTTAAAGGATTCTCTGCCATGACAGATGTGACGATTTTTTTCCTTATCAATGTTTAGGAAATGAAAATAAGCAAAATAATGTACAATTTATGGAACTTCTGGGCTTGCTAGAGTTGCTTAGGCA